CGCCTAGCTTCCTTGATTGCCCAATTGTGTCCATGCACTCCAGCCACAGCCGCAATGCATGATGCTTTTCTGTGCACTATTTGGGTGAGACTCAAAGCATAACGCTTTGAAGTCACTTTGGGGCCGCTCGTCTTGACAGGTCTGTGGGAAGCTGTAGGAGTGGAGTATCGATGAAGTAGGCAAATCAAGACCGACAAAACAAAAGACACTTGATATCAAAAAGATATATTCAAGACTCAAGACTAACCGACGCCGTTCCACCACATCAATGCTCTGGTGCCTCTGCTTCGTGGAATGTCAAGGCCAGTTAGAACGCCTTTTGCATTCTGCTCCAGAGAAAGTATTGAGAGTGCTATGAATTCATGCATCAAACTGTGATTTGCTTGGCTTTGTCATGTTCACCCAGCAGATTGAAGTACAGAGCAGCACCAGCAATCTACGAGTGATTTGAGTTGCCACTCTTCGTGTGAGCGGGCAGCCATGTACCAGAACAATGGAAGGTTGAGGTTGTGCAGGTATTGGCATCATGCATTTTGTGCAAAGAAGACGCACACAGACATGTGACATGCCGACATGAATATATACAAGGGTTGAGTATGCAGCAAGGCTATCAAGAGATCTGGCAGAAGTATGTAGAAGTTATTTTTGACATGCTTGATATGATAAAACTAATCTTCAGCTACAGCTACCCCAGTACTAACTTCCATTGCCTTCACTACGCTTCTTCCGTGTTGCGGCGCTTCTCCCCATGTCGATTGAGATCGATTGAGACACGGCCTTCTTTTCCGTGCAACACTTAATGTCCCCAGGCTTAGGAAGCAAGAGAGAGCATCCTCTTCCATGTGCCTCATTTTGTGCACCTTAGCAGTTTTGCCAGTGCCAGCATACGTAGCGAATTGCAATGATTTGCTTATGTGCATACTGCCAAACTAGTAGGTGTTAGTTAGTTTGATCCAGGAATAATCATGGCGGATGAAGATTTGTCTGAGAAGTACATAATGCCATCTCTTCAATCTTGTATATACAGTAGATAGTGCTTTTAAGTGTGCATCACTTCTCACTTGGTGAGAGATTTCCCTCCAGGAGAAGCAGCTGCGAGATTGCTTCGCAAAGTTTGATCTCAATGGTGACGGAAAGATACAGGCACCAAGCTTGTTCGAAAAGCGTATGATCGAAATGTGCTAGTGACTTCCGAAGACTCTTCAAGACATCAAGACCAGATCCATGGCCAATGTGCAGGAAAGTGAGTTCAAAAAGTTGATGAAGAGCCTGGATGGTGGCTTCACTCCAAAGGACGGCTGAAAGCACCTGAAAACCATTGAACATCTGCAGGGACCGGAACACATACGAGCAGGACCAGGGGTCAATGTGAGCAGCCATGCTTCGACAGGAGATCAAACGGCTTTTCAAGGAAGCGGATACCGATGGGTCGAATAGTTTGGAGCTTGGGCAGCTTGGGGATTTTCAGTCTTGCCGCCTAACAAGAAGCTAGTAGTAACAAGTGCATCGCTAGTAGAAACAAGTGCATCGCTACTAGTAACAAGAAGCTATTAGAATTAAAATTAGTAGCTTCTTGTTTTGGAGCTTGGGCAGCTTGGGGATTTTCAGTGCCGCCAACATTTGTTCCCATGACCCGCATGTTCCGGTTGCAAGCATACTGCAAATCCATGCAATTCCTGTACAGACGCTGTATGATGATGTTGTTGCTGGCGTTCACATCACTTCTCGTAGGTTCCTTTAAATCGTTTGTTATCCAGGTGTGGACTGGCGAGAGTTTCTCTCCTGGATCATAAATGGCACAGCCATGCGAGGCCACGTTGTGCTGAGGCTTTTCAACACCACACATTGAGGATCAAACATGAAGAAGGATAAGAGAATGGATGAATTTCGAGAAATGTTGGTTTGATTTTCTAGGAATGGGAGCCAAAGGCGCTGCCTCCTTTGAACGGTTTCAAACTGAGACAGCTCACAGATTGTGGCATTGCTTCAGACTGGTTCAAACTGATTTCGAGGTTGTTGAACACGGAGACCCAGGATGAAGCCAGCTTTGTGGAATCGGCATAGGACTAAGAATTGAATAGTGAGGAGTGGCATCGGAGCGGCTGGATAGTTTCCAGGTTTAGGTTAAGTATCCCTAAGAATCTAGGAACAAAATGAATAGTGCGAGCGCAATTCTGCCTCCATGCTACTAGCCGCTTAGCTACTAGCTACCTAGCTTCTACTAGCTACCTAGCTAGCTACTACTTACCTCTAGCGGCCTACCCCCCAAAACACAGCTGAACAATCGAGGCTCAGATGGGCCACAACGTCACCGAGTACCTCAAGAGAAACGGTTCTAAGGGGAAGTCAAGAACGAGAAAGAAGACAACGACAAAGGCAGCAGAGATTGCCACCTCAGTTTGTGTTTTTCTCGTGTCTATTAAATAGACAACATATCATAACACCTTGCAAATTGTGTTTGCGAGGCTGGCTGTGATGAATTTGGTGTTCCGGCAGATTATTCTGGCTACCGGCAGGAATCTGAGGAAATCCATGAAAGACATGCAGTATCAGCGATTTAGGGATACTGTACTGAACTATTCAGTCAATGTATGCACACATGCATGCACACATATGCACACGTATACAACATTATACAACATAATTTAATACAACTAAATTAGTTGGTGGATGGCATGAGATCTCGTGCAGCTGTTCTATTCCTCATGTTCGGGGTGACCTGAGCGCTGTCCAGCACATGATTTTGAACAGCGACATCCTGAGGATTCAGTGGCCCATGACCCCGCAGGGTGCCAAAGATCTATTGGGTTCGGCCCTCAGTGGTTTTATGTTGTTTGTGTGGTTGATTGGCAACGCCTTTAGTCTATCTCAGACTCGAGAAACATCAAGCATTTGCTCAGACAACTTCCTCCACAATGGCTCCAACAAGCCGCTCCATGCAAAGCATGCCCCCCAGACTGCCAAGCCCGTGCAGGTGCTGTGCGTCTTTAGTTTGTCAAATTTGCGAAGTATTCGCCACACCTTCATTCTCAAAGTGCAAGGCATGTCCAGCTCATTCTCGATGAATTTGTGGCGGCCTACAAAGACAGGCACCCCAAGCCAGTCATTGAGACGGAGGTCCCGCAACCAGATGGAAGGCACTGGGGACTCTTTGCAGCTTACACTGTCTTTATGCGTTCCTTGACAACATTGTTGGACATTGCCACTGTCAGACTCGTGATTGTTGGCGACACTCACGGACAGCTTGCTGATGTGCGCATATTGTTTTATCGATGCAAGACGCTCGAGCGACAAAGGCGAGCGTACTTCACATTTGAGGTACTTCACATTTTGTACCACCTCGGACCTCCAAGCGCAAACAACAGGCGAGACGAAAGTCTTTGAGAATTAGTACTCTTTCCACATTCCACGTCGCTACGGTGTGAGTGTTGTGGAGGTATCTCTTCAACGGAGACATGGTTGACCGTGGGAATCAGGCCAGTAAAAGTCGGAGTTTGGATTCTGCTAGGGGCTCCTGGCCTTACTACTAGTAACAAGAAGCTACTAGGGACTCCTTGGCATCGCTACTAGGAGCAAGGACGCTACTAGGGGCTCCTGGCCTTACTACTAGGGAATGAGCTGACTGGCGCCAGGGAGTGGAAATCTTGCTCATTCTGTTTTCATTCTTCCTTGCAGACAATGAGCCTGGCCCAAAGAGAAATAACTTTGAGAAATACTGTCACTTGTGCTTTGAGAAGACATACTGTCTCTTTTAGGTCAATCATTGTGCACCGTGGAAATCATGAAAATGAGGAAGATTGTCAATCTTGTTTTTTGCTTTCCATTCGATAAACAGGAATGCTCTGACCCCGAGACCGTGCAGCGCAGGACATGAATGCACTCCATGCTGATAACGGTGGTGGGTTCGAAGATGAGGCTTTGGTTTCAGTACAATGAAGTACAATGTACAAGATGTACAATGGACAATTCATTTGTTCATTTGATTTTGCACCAGATATAGCCTGGCTAGGTGATGGAAAAGTATGGCCTGCAAGTGCACGGACCTCGAGAGAGAGAGAGAGTCACAAGTGTGAGACATCGAGAGCGGAATCCAACTGATCAAGGTATCGACACTTCATTGGTGCTTTCAAAACTTTGTCGTTGGCCTCTGTGATCAATAAGGACGGTGGACAGTGTTCACTTTGTCGCACGGTATATTATATATATACACATATGCGGTAATTACTGTATATATAAACTCCGATTGTTTGCTGTTCGCATGGATTATTTTTCAGGAGATTTTTGTTGTTCACGGAGGCTTGACCAGAGTCTGGATCTTGGTACTGAGTTGGGTGTTGACAGAGCCAAGGTGTTGTGAATTTTATCTATTCCCAACCTGATGCCGTGAGGTCAAAAACCTCACCATTGACTATATCAACACTTTGCCTTTCCAGGTCACACTGGGTCACCTGGAAGATGTTTCTTGCACACAGCATTTTTTTTAAAAACTATATTTTACATTGCTTTATGTTGCTTCCACTTTTGCAAGTTTTGTGACCATTTGCAGGACTATACTGCCCCACACCCACTGTCTACCAATGTCAAGGATTTCCGGCCTGTGGAATAGTTCACAATGACATGGCCTGACTCAACTCCCTGTCAAGGAGCAGCTTTTCTCAGACTTGCTTTGGAGCGATCCCACTGAGTATGAGGGCAAGTACAAGCGCAGCCGTCAAGCTTAACAAGCACAGAACCATTTCGCTCCACAAAGATTGTGGTTGCATTTTGTGGTAGGGACACCAACTTTGCCGCAGCATTGTCCTTTTTTCTACGTCCGAGACCGCCGCTGCCGTCAACATGCGTTCATGTCATCTCAGGGTCATTTGATGTCATTGCCAATAGCTGATGTTTGGAAAACCGTTTGGAATATGTTGAAGACTGTTGAAGCATATTGAAGCAGGCAAAGTGCTTGAGAATGCTTCGGAGTTGGCCGGATCTGTCAAAGCCATGCAATTCTGGCCATGGCAAAGCTGACTTCACTTGTGCCGCAATCTCGTGGAGGCCAGAAAATGTGACTTAGGTTGGTTGGTCCTGACATGTCTCAGGTGTGATTCTATGCCCAGGCCAAGTGGAGCCCTTTCATGAACGCCGGGTTAGCTGTGCTGGCTCCCGACCTGTACCTGATCCTGTACCAGGTTGGTGGGCAGAGAAGTCACCCTACAAACCTGCAAGGAAGAACACAGAGAGTGTGCTGTTTTGAACTGATCTACCCCATGAAAACACGAGAAGGCATAGGAAAGCAAGAAGGCTTGATTCTTTGAAGTCGCTTCGTTTCTGTTTGCGTTGGTCCATCTCTCTCGCTTGGAGGTGTGGCTCGCCGCCTCGTGGCACTCTCGTCAGTCTTTGTGCAACGTTGGCTTCGTGCGAGACGTTCCAGACGCAGATTGACATGCAGATCGAGGCTGGAAGGATGCTTTTCAATACCAAAACTCTTATAGTTTTCAAAACAATACCTTTAAAATCAAGGACTCAGGCTTTGGACACTCAGCATCTCTCAGCTATGAGGCTATGACAAAATCATCGTTACTTCTCACTAGTATCCTTCAACAGACCTTAGCTCTGAGGTCCGGGATGATGCACATAATGTGGGCTCGATGTTTCATGGTCCAACTTCTGCTCGTTTCATCTCGTCGTTTGGCAAGGCAGGTGGCTTACGACGTTGACGATCCCGAGCAGGCTGGTCACGATGGCTGGTGACCAAGGGACGCCATGGAGCAGGGTGGCCGATGCGAGCCTGCCAGGAGCTACAGAGACTCCGATTTCGAGGGGTGAGCTTGCTCTTTGGAGTTAACTTCCCAGTGAAGTCAACGATCTAAGCAAGTATGTTTAGACATTCTGATCTCATGAGAAAGCTGCAAGCAAATTTTCTTCATGAAAGTATGACGTTTTTGCCAATAATTGTGAGGTCCCTGCTTTTCAGCGCCTGCAAAATGCGCGAGTTGCTGTTCTTGGCGCGGAGCTCGCTTGTTTGTCGAAGTTGGTTGTAGTTGTACCGCTTTCCTGTACCTTGACCAGAGTGGCCAAGGGATTGGTGGAGTTGGATCCTGGGTGGTGGAAAGCCTTGCGAGAAGTGGGATAGGTGCGCTGCAGACTCAGACCGATTTTCGCTTCATTCACCTGCTCTCCAGATATTCAGAGCTGCTTAACTTTGGAATAGCTCCTCGAGGCTCACCTTGGTTGACTTAGATGAGATATGCATCAGCAACACCAATCGGCAATTGTGCGCCATGGGCCATTTGACTTGAAAGTAGAAGACAAATGAGCCAAGCAGACTGCAGACGATTGACTGAATCTGACCGACAGAACTCTTTTCAAACATTTTCAATCCATTTTGACATATGACAGGCATACCCTCATGGACACGGTGGGACGACCTAAGGCCAAGCAGCATGAGTTCAGCATGAGAATAACGTTATATAGAGTTCCTCTAATCCAAACGTTTGCTCTATCAGGTTGATGTGATGGCTGAGCGGGTGAGGCTGGAATCAAAACGATTATAGGCTATAGGGATATGAAGGCTTTTCAAAGGAGTGTATTGTTTGTGTAAGTTGCTGATGAACGGCTGCAGGCTCATCAATCCAGAGTGCAAGGTTGACACTGTGCTTGGAACTTGTATAGTACAGTCAAGTCAAGAAAGACTTTATGGAATTCCATGGAATTCCCTTGGTTCTACAATCTGAGGCAAGACTTCTTTGTGCAAGAAACCGAAAGTCAAATTCTCGACCGGCAGTTGGATGCACTGAAACTTAGCTGTTTGCACACACACCAAAAAGCACTGCATCCACCAGCGACATCATTGCATTCCGTTGCGACGAAGGTTGTCGTTGATGCCATCGATGGTGTTGCAAACAAGTGTCGCCTCATTTATGCATGCTACGCTCTTAGACAACCGGTGGCAATCATCCAGGAACCTACAGCATACTCGTAGCCGGCGCACGCAGTTCATGCTTGAATTAAACCCTAGACATGCGTTCATTGTCCATATTGCCCTAAAGTCCATAACTTGCTTGATCATCAATACGTTGCAAACAATTTGTACTTGCTCGAAACTTGCGTAGAGCAGGTAATCTTTCTTCATGTTTCTTCAATACATTTGATTAGCCAAAATGCCCTGCCATTTGGGCTCAAGATTGCAGGCACCGTGGTGCCTTCAAACAAAAACATCCTGCGAGTTTACCTCCATCTTCATCCTTGTCGCCATGGCTGGTCTGGGTAGCTCTGCTGCTCTCTTTGATTGGGACATCCTTGACGATGGTGGGCCTCTGATGCCCTTGCCAAATTTTGGATCCCGGGACCAGCGAATCTACAGCGCAAGCTTGTGGAGCCGAGCCAAGTCGTGGTGAAGGTACAGGCGCCCCTGGCCCTGAAACCTCAATGGGGGCGGTGAAAGTGTGGGCGGGTGACATGGTGATCTGGCGCAAGTTGGCGACCCGCCGTCGCTGGATTCCCACTCACTCCGGGGACCCTTGAGGGCAAAGCTGCACAACTGACGGTGGAAGAGTTGGTTGCTTAAAGCCCGGATCTATCACTCGGACCTGGTGGAACGGGTGATCGAGGTTACACTGGCGAACACGCAGTATACCATGTTGAGCCATGGGGGCGCTGTGCTACCTCATCTGCCACTTCACCCAACCCATGCCCTATATTGCCCTGCTTCGGACTGGCGGGGAGGCTGTGATGCAAGTGCGGGGGACGAGGGATCCTAGATTTGTGGCTGGCTCACCCACGCAAAGAGAAAGCGTTCTGGTTCCACTCGTCCTTTCTAGTTTGCTGGCATCGACGCTACAGACTACAGATGAGGACTCCGCTCATCTTCAACAACCAGACAAGCACCTTCGCCATGCTACCAGCCAGCAATCCCGATGCAGCTGCGGCGGGAGGGAGCCAATTAGCCCCCTCACATGTCAAAACGCAACTTGAAGACTTGGGCCGATGAACTGACCCATCCTAATCCACTTGGCTTTGACCCCTCTAGGACTCTAGGAGGTGCAAAGTGGCCGATGAAGTCGTGCAATGCGTTAAGGCCCGTTAGCGCCCCACGTCAGGAGCTTGGACATTCAAATCGTCCGGTTGAGGACTTGGAGCTCTGGATGTTCTATTGCAGGTCCTCTGCCTCACAGTGCCCTGAACCCTGTGGACCACTTGAACAGCATGTTTCTGCTGACCTGCTTCATTCTGAGTAGATTTCTCCCGCGACGCCCATGAACCCGTTGCAGGGTGCCCGGTGTCCAGTTGCTTCCTGAGTCTCATCTTTTGGCGGACACTGCTGGTGGTTGAATTGGTGCCACCCAGCCCCAAAACAGTCTTCTGGCCTTCCTTGTATGGGGGAAGTCAGGACCAGAAACTTAACCAATGGGCACTTGAGTTTGGTTCTGGACCTGATTATATGGTGGTTTGTCACTTTGCTGAGGTCGTGAACGGCATATTCCCGTTGTTGTGTCGGGAGGCTTGGGTGGCAAGGCGCCTTTGGCTGCGTACACTAGGTGGCCACGATTAAGCCAACCTCTGCAAGGCAGATCCTACGCAGTTCTGCGAAGACGACATAACTCGAGTACACGGTCCCGACCTTTGGCCCGTTTGACCCTCTCTCCTACTTGTACAGTTTAGTGCTTTTGTGGTGCTAACTGTGCTAACTGACTGTGTTTCTCCTTATTGGGGTTTGCCTTTCCACAGAGCTCAGGTGATGGGCTTACGCGTCGCGTACGCAATACGCTACCCGACTGGATGCCTAAAGAGAACGGTTCTTGACTTATATCATGACACGTGTGGATCATAGAGTGTTTGTTGTGCGCTCCAGGCTTCGGAAACAATATGGCTTTCCTTCTGGTGAATCAAAGGGAAGGCCTTGAAATGAAATTGCCGGGAGTCAGCGTATGGTTGTGGTCTCACTTCCCATCCCGTTGTTGGAGGTGGGGAATCCCTGTTGTCTACAGCCCCGAGACACCAAAGTTTGTCCCGGATGAGCCGTTGGACGAAGGCAGCTGATTTCAGCAGCCAAATTATCAAATATGTTGAAACTGCTGGGTTTCTACTTAAGCCGCAAGCCCAACGTCGGAAGGAGAGGAGTTGCAAAGGAAGACCTGTGCGATATGCTCAGATGCAGGTATTTGGCAATATCGTGCAACATCATATGGTCATAAGTCAGATGATAGATAGAATGATATAATCACGAAAGCCAGCCTATAGGCTAGGCTTGAGGTAGGGGAGCGAACGAAGTGAGTTGAAGGGGGTGTGGGGGGGGTGGTTGCGTGGTGGCCAATTTCGGAGAGGTGAGCCCAGAGACTGGTGGGGGAGAGCGAATAAAAGAGGTGGCCACTTGGTAGTGAAAATGCGTAGTTTTTGGGGGTGCTGTGACGCCGGTGATGTAATTGACGGCCCGTAGTGCATCACTAACGTCACGAGGGGCTCAAGAGGCAATGCAAACCTTTTTCTACCATAGGAAAGAGGGGGCAACGGGGCGCGAAAAGTGGTTGGAACTCTTCCAGACAAGGGAGATGCGCGCCTCTTGTCGCCAGTGAAATAGTGTTCGACCAGGGCAAAAGGGAGGTGTGTGTCTCTTAAGACATTGTGTGATCTGTGAGGAACCAGAATGCTGTGGGGAAGGTGGAAGACGGGCATAGCGTAGGAGGATGTGGTAGGAAAAGAGGGTTTGCAAGAAGTGTTAGAGTTGCTTGGGCGTGCCCCCTTTTTTAATGGTGAAGACGCCTGTCAACGAAACGCAAAAGGGCACCCCATATGGGGTGCGAGTTCATGTAATGCTGTGGTCCGTTGAGGGCAGGAAAGAGAACAATATTCAGCGGGCAAGCTTTGAGTTGTTTGGGGGTGCCCCTTTTTAACGATGAAGAGGCCCAGTTGCCGGGCCCAGAAGGGCACCTCATTATGGGGTGGGAGTTCATGTGGACGAGACAGGCATAGCGGAGGAGGACGTGATACAAAAAGAGGGATTGCAAGAAACGATGTGACCCATTCATTGAGAACAGGGAGGGAACAGAATGCGGCGGGCAAACTTTGAGTTGCTTGGGGGTGCCTTTTTATGGTGGAGAGGCCTGTTGACCAGACGCAAAAGGGCACCCCAAATGGAGTGGGAATTCATGTACAAAGTGGGCAGGAAAAGAGGTGGGGAGCTCACCAGAGCTCCCGCATTCACCCCCCATAACCATATTGGTATCTTTTACGGTGGCTGGCTTTCGTCCTGTTTTCAACTATATGCGCACGGACACAAAACGGGTTCCACCCACCTCAAGAAAGGCGAGCAGATCACACTTGCTAACGCGGCGAGTGCAGCTCCATGGGATGGTTGGCAATCAGAGTTCTCAGATGTCCTCAGGACAGTGGCTATGGGACCTTTTGCCCATCTGTCAGGGCCTTTATACATGTTGCATCATGTTGCGGCTTGATATAAACACTGCCAGTACTGCGTGGATTGCATGGGACCAGGCTGGAGTGCAGGGATTTACTTTGGCGGCGTGTGCTACGAAGCCATGCTCTTGGGTTTTCACACGTGGTGATTTGATTGTCTATTTGTTTTCCTCTATCTATATATCTACCTATCCATACAAAGTCGAAATGCCAACCAAGGATATTGATAGCAAGGGCCAAGTGAGAGGGCTTGTTCATCGAGCTTTCTCCCAGTGTCAAATGACCTGGGAAGCATCAGTCCGTCTCCTCCACAAGATTGCAAGAAAAACAGAACCCTGGAAGGAAGCAAAACATGTGACAGTGTTGGAAGATTCAATCGGCAAGCTAAGAACTCCAAAGAAGGTGCCGCTTAGTTCCCTTTCTTACTATTTAATGTTCAGGACTTGCCCAATATTACACGGTAGTTGACCAACAGGTCGACATAAGGCCTTGGCTCATTGACAGCCTTTTGTGTTGCGCTTTCCTTTTTTTAAGCTCGAGAATGTAATCAGTGTTTTTTGCTGCAAAAGAGACATGGAGTGCGCGAAAGATTTGCGAAAGCAAAGTTACTGTATGTTACTGTAGTTTTGGCCAAGAATTGTGTTTTCGTAAGAAGGAATCTAGATCAACCACCATATAGTATTATACACCTTGGGTCTGTTCTATTACCTGTAACATCAGTAAACAATTAGCTTTGAACAAGGCCTTTACTAACCATCATCATCCACTGTTACAGGTACTGTAATAGGACCGGATAGACCCAATATACACCACTTATACGCAAGATTGATATTTGTTTTGCTTTCAGACTTGCCAGGTCAGACCGCGGCGTTGGAATCAAATACGGTCCCGATGTGACGACCAAGTTCTGCAGCCAAAATAGACTGAGGCAGGAAGCATGACAAATATGTGCCACTAAGGTGCTGAAGAACTAGGAGCCAAGTCAATCATGCGAAGGGTTCTTGCTAAGGTTCTTTTTGTATAACCCTTCGGTCTTTGGTCACTACACAGTACTTGTACCTAAATAAGGTATGACAGCTTAAGTTCTTAGGGCACCAAGATAATCTAGGAACCAAATCATCAAGCCAGCCCTTTTGTAGTAGTAGTAGTATACCCGCGGACTGAAACTTAGAATGAGGACAAGGGGCAGGAAATTGACCGTCATTCTGTGTCGGGCCTCATTATTTTTTTGAAACTTAGAATGCTGGGCGCTTAGAATGCCAGCCAAACATCTATGGAAAGATGTCCGTTTCCTGCAAATTCTGCAGGTTTGTTGTGAATTTTTCACCCGGGAGACCCCGGGTAAACTCAAGTTAGAATGGGGCACAACTGATGTGACAGCTGTGACCAGCTGTGTTTAAACGGTTTTTTAAAGGAAACGGGACAAGACCTCAGATTCCTAAGATTACCCGAAAGTGGTAGAAGTCTTGGATTTCAAGGTTTTGGTCATTTTTTGGCACTACTTTTCAAAGGTTGTTTAAAGGAAACGGGACAAGACCTCAGATTCCTAAGATTTCCCGAGAAGTTTTGGTTTTCAAGGTTTTGGTCATTTTTGGCACTACTTTTCAAAGGTTGTTTAAAGGAAACGGGACAAGACCTCAGATTCCTAAGATTCCCCGAAAGTGGGAGAAGTCTTGATTTTCAAGGTTTTGGTCATTTTTGGCACTACTTTTGAAAGGTTGTTTAAAGGAAACGGGACAAGACCTCAGATTCCTAAGATTCCCCGAAAGTGGTAGAAGTCTTGGTTTTGCAAGGTGTTGGTCATTTTTGGCACTACTTTTGAAAGGTTCTTAAAGGAAACGGGACAAGACCTCAGATTCCTAAGATTACCCGAAAGTGGGAGAAGTCTTGGGTTTCAAGGCTTTGGTCATTTTTGGCACTACTTTTGAAAGGGTTTGTAAAGGAAACGGGACAAGACCCCAGATTCCTAAGATTCCCCGAAAGTGGTAGAAGTCTTGGTTTTGCAAGGTGTTGGTGTGTTTTAAAGGAAACGGTACAAGACCTCAGATTCCTAAGATTCCCCGAAAGTGGTAGAAGTCTTGGATTTCAAGGTTTTGGTCATTTTTGGCACTACTTTTCAAAGGTTGTTTAAAGGAAACGGGACAAGACCTCAGACTTCTAAGATTCCCCGAAAGTGGGAGAAGTCTTGGTTTTGCAAGGTTTTGGTCATTTTTGGCACTACTTTTGAAAGGTTTTTAAAGGAAACGGGACAAGACCTCAGATTCCTAAGATTCCCCGAAAGTGGGAGAAGTCTTGGATTTCAAGGTTTTGGTCATTTTTGGCACTACTATTGAAAGGGGTTTTAAAGGAAACGGGACAAGACCTCAGATTCCTAAGATTCCCCGAAAGTCGTAGAAGTTTTGGTTTTCAAGGTTTTGATCATTTTTGGCACTATATACTTTTAAAAGGTGTTTTAAAGGAAACGGGACAAGACCTCAGATTCCTAAGATTCCCCGAAAGTGGTAGAAGTCTTGGATTTGCAAGGTTTTGGTCATTTTTGGCACTACCTTAAAAGGGTTTTTAAAGGAAACGGGACAAGACCTCAGATTCCTAAGATTCCCCGAAAGTGGGAGAAGTCTTGGTTTTCAATGTTTTGATCATTTTTGGCACTATATCCTTTTAAAAGGTGTTTTAAAGGAAACGGGACAAGACCTTTCTAAAATGTGTGTATATATACATATACTATTCTTATCGATGTGTATTTGTATAAGGTGTTGGTTGCACCTCATTCTAAGCTTTAGCCTGGAGGTATTTATATGCAATATACAAAAATACCAGGTTGACAGGGCCTCACCAAAAGAATAGGCTGAAAAAAGCAAAGGCCGGTATCTCGACCCTAAGGAAGTTGGAATTTAAGAAACTCGTACAGTATCTACCCCCTCACTGAAGACAAGAAGGAGGAAATTTGCAAGTTTAGAAGCCGACACGCAGGGGATAACAAATCGATCGGCCGGAAAAAGATGCTGGAGAACGGAGGACGGGTGTTTTTTTGAGGCATGGTGTTTATTTTGTGGATTTGTTGATTTTTTCAGCGTTTTATGGCAATTTTGCTCAAGAGTTTTGACCCGGGCCAATTTTTTGGAGGGTCATTCTTAGTTTTATAGGTTGGTGGGGTTTGGGCGTGTTGCCATTTTACCTGTGTTTTTGGTGTTTTTCTTGATTTGGATGCATTCTAAGTTTTTTTCTCAACGTCATTCTATACCGCTATGGCAAAAATCACAGTTCCCTTGCCCGCATTCTAAGTTTCAGTCCGCGGGTATAATAATAGTAGTAGTAGTAGTAGTAGCAGGAGTAGTAGTAGTAGTAGTAGTAGTAGTAGTCGTAGGAGTAGTCGTAGTAGTAGTAGTAGTAGTAGTAGTAGCAGTAGCAGTAGTAGTCGTAGTGGTAGTGGTAGTGGCAGGAGGAGTAGGAGTGGGTTCTTGAGTTTGGTAGTTTACCTCCTTAACCTACTTCGCTTACTTTTAAGCCTCCTCATGGCCTATCCGGCCTATCTTCCCAGAAAAGGCAGCTTTCCTTTTGCTTCCAGCCCTCCAGGTTCCTGGTCCGGAGTCATCAGGTGCCTGAAGATGGGTCTCTCTGGCTTGTTTCTCGCCGTTCACTCTGCTCGCTCTTTAAGGCTTGCAACCCAGCCAGCATGAGCCACGCGTAGGTTTTGCCGTTGCTTTTAATCCCACTCTTCATCCTGTTGGACCATGCCAGGCGTGGATTTCAGAAGCAGCACAATGACCGCTGCGTGACGGTCTTCAGTGCCAGCAACTATTGTGGAGATGGGGGGTGCGTGTCCCAGACATGATGCAGATTTGGTGCCGAGTCTTGAGTAGTCTCCAGCAGGTGCTTCATGGTGTTTGCCTTGTTTTGTTATGATTGTTTTTGTTTAGGTCACTTCATTTGTCAAACTATGGATTCTGTGGATCCGCGAATCTTTGCATTGAGGAACTTTGGTGCAGTAATAGTACTTTCTGCCTCCAATTTCCCTCGGTATGAAGTCTTTGAGCAGGGCACTTGGTGCTTGCACAAGCAACAACCAATGCATACCAATGCCAGCCTGAACCGACCACTGCAATTTTTATTCTTGTATGATTGATGCTGCGTTTCGTCATTCAAAGATGCATGAGAGCTCAAGGCACTTCGCTGCTCCTTTAGAAGAAATGCCAGCTATAGTAGCTCAAGGCGAGCATGCGCGGCGAGCATGCAAAGCATGTGTGGTGCCGTGCCAGTGCTTTGAGAGCACTGGAATTTATTTTCAGAACAAAAATAACAGAGGTAAGGCCCTCTGAGGGCATTACCTCCCATTTATTTGTTTGCTTCTTCTGAAAATTAAGTCGATCACTCTCGGAGCACTCATTACATGTCATGCGCTGGGAACGTTTCAGGTGATGCTACCGACTGGAACCAGATGTCCACGTCGCAACAAAGAGAGAGTGCGGAAGTGTTGCACTTAGAATGCGATGCCTGAGTGAACCTTGTTGAATGAGCAGCAAGGGCTAGTTTAAGTATGACCTTTAGTTGTTCCTCCCCATACTCAGGCATCCCAAAAATAGAGGCAATCATGCACGGCGATTCCAACATAAAGACTGACGGACAATCAAACAGACAACAGACAAGCAGGGGCAGACACAGAGACAGGGAAAGGCAGTGACAGAGAGCCACTCAAGCACATACCAACGATTGCCAACGCACCTACATCCACCCATACCATCACATTGAAGCACGCGCACACACTCGCCCAGGGTTTTGGCTGGGATGGACAAATGCACGAGCGAGCACGCGAGACAGAAAGAGAATGATAAAGGGGTTGCTGAAAGGAATGACAACTGAAGTCAAGGGAATGACGCGCAATAGGTTTATTTAAACATATTTCAACAGTGCAGAATTTGGTGGACCGAGTCTTCCAAAATAGCTCGCCAAGAGAAGACCTTCGAGCCAACGGCTTATTTACTGTATGACTTTTTGGATGCTGATTCTTGAGGGACATCACTTCAATTTAGCACCACACTATACCACACTTGCATAGTGTCGTTCTGTGCTGCTCAGGCGTATGATAATTTCGATCATCGAGAAGAAGCCGCAGCTTTGGGCATTTGTCATCCGGAATTCTCTAGGCTAGGTGCCGTAAAAAATGACTGAGTGTCGGGTATGACTTGAATGACTTGCTGATGATTTCCACGCAGGACAGAAATTGAAGGCT